GAGGAGGAGGGGAGGGTGACTGCAAGCAAATTACAGGGATATAACACATAGCTACACAGTTTTTGAGTGTAGGATGTGTTTAATGCGTAGATAGGCAGTTGGTGTTGGTGTATGTGTGTGTGTGTGTGTGTGTGTGTGTGTACGTGCATAACAACCTCTGGCTAATGACAAGCATAACCTTTGAAAGAATGAGCGCCCCTCACAGCGGTCAAATCAGTTGACTACATGACCATCACATTTCCAAATTTACGACTAAAAAGGCCAATGAGCCCTCTGAGTTTTTAACCAAGAAAGACCTCCTTCATTCCACTTTTATGGGACTAGGAGGGCCAAGATGACACATGACAGCTTTCCTGACGTTCAGGCTCATTTCTCACATTCAACAGAAAACCACAAGCTTGACAAATTGTCTTCCTTTGTGGAAATTTTCACCGCTCATTTTGTCTTTGATAGAATAAGGCAGCTCCTTCTTTCATACATGCATAAAGCAAAGGGTCACCGGCCACCAATACTTCCAATAGTCCCAAACACTAAAGTGATGGTGCATGCATGTGCATGACCTGTTAAATTGCCCCTTAGGACCTCTGATGGCCCTTTAGTAAGACAGCCCCACCCACACAAACACCCTTTTCTTTTCTTTTTTTTTAACACCCTGCAGTGGAACAATGGATTTTGTGGTCACAATGTGTTATAGTTAATGCACTGAACAGTTGGCTGAGTAAGCATGAGAAATACGCACAAAAATCACAACATGTGCAAGACTTGAAAGTGTTGAGTAATTCAGATTATGGGATGCACCGATTGGGACATTCAGGGCCGATACCAATTTTTGCATCTCTGCCCTGTTACAGCTCTGCCATTTTATCTGCTGATGTCAGTCAACTGGGCGAATATGTTCAGCCGATGAATCGGAGCATTCCTAATTCGGATCTTTCATGTCAAACTATACTGTTTTCCATTTATTTCACCAGATAGGAAATCCATGACAGTGAACGATAAGCATTCTCAATTTTTTTTGTCAAACTTAAGTAAAAGTTACATAGCAGCTCCAAGCAGAGACTCCTCCTTTCTGGTGTGTTCAACTAACTAAAAATTAGAACTTAAACCGAGAGTAAAACTTTGCACCACAATGTCACAGAATCCAATACATACTTCGTCAGCATTGTAAGAATTGCATTGTACTGTATCATGAAGTATCCTGAGCTAAATCACGCAAAAACATCAGAACGGTCTTTTCAGATCCTTCAGATTACTGAGGAGTGGTTACAAAGTGCAAGAAGCACCAGACAAGACGATGAGTAAAATCATGGCCAGTCTGCACACCGACAGTACCGTAGCCCAGCAGCTGCCAATATCCTTAAAATCCGGAGTGAGACAGGGAACTCCATAGTATATTTGACTGATGTAATGTGCAGCAGAGCATAAACAAGGCAGCGTTTGAACGATGGGCACAGCTCGGAGTAAACTGGTCTAATGTTTCAGTCTGAGCACTCCTCACATGAATCACCACCTGAAGTGCACTCACTCTATCCCGTTACCGTCACTGTCCATGTCAAATGTTTCTTATTACCAATAATGCTTTGCAGAGTGTTGTCAGTCGGCGGTGCCTGGATAAATCATCCTCTCCCCTGAGGTGACACTTGATTAACAAATGCCTATCCATTACAGCTCATCAAAAGCCCGACTCGTCCAATTAAATCCTACAACTTGTGCATATCAAACAATCAGTGCAACGGTAACCTTGATGTTGTATTATTATATATGTACGGGAATACATTTCTCGAGCTTGGGCTGCAAACACACCACCAGTACATCTCACCCACTGTCCTACACTCCTGGATGAGCAACCGTACATGGCTTGAACATGTTTTGATGTCAAGGAATCCAATCGCATTACACACCCCAGATATTAATTTAAAATCTTTTCCCAAGAGTATCCCCTGGATACAGGTTATTACTACTACTACAGTGTGGGTGCTTGAGAGTTCAAATTTAAGCCTCTCAACACCTGTTGTCTGTATATTAATTACACTAATTTAATGTAAACAGCAAAAAAAAGAGAGAAAATGGGAAAACAAATCATTTTATAGGCTAGAAATGGCAAGCGCAGGGTAGGAAAGGGAACTTAAATGTGAAAGGGCAAAAGAGTCGAGTTAAATTTAGTAAAGCGTGTAATGGGTTGTACTACTAACTCAGTTCTGGATTCATCTAATTGTGAATATGGTGCACAGAAACCTCTTATTATCTGCGTGAAATAAAATGGCTAATGACTGGCTAATAAAAGACTTCTCACACTCACAAGATACCCATTGAGACAGTTTTGCTATATATAAAAGGAGGCGACAGGTACAGTGAGGGCTGTAAAACCTAAAATCACACTCACACATTTTCCCATTACTCCAACTTTTAGGGAGAGAGAGAGAGAGAACAGTGACAGTTTTGCCTGGAAGCCTTTGAAGGACCCCCGCTGGTCCCCTGGACCCCCACTTTGGGAACCACGGGTTTAACACTTGGCAGAGGCTCATCCACTGACAGTACAGCCAGCGTTTGTGTGTGTGTGTGTGTGTGTGCCATAGATAGCATGTTCATTTAATGAGTGAATAATATCCCCCTGCATGTCCAATGAACTGTGGGGCTGGGGGCATGGGCCACGGACGGGAGGGGGGTGATAATAACACAATGGGAGTGTTAGGGAGTGTGGGAACCAATTCTCCCCGGGACAATAGACACTTCCCAGTGGCCACAGCGTGCCCATTCACTATCTGCTGCTGGGCCAGCGTAGCACGGTGCTGAATATGCACCAGCTCAGCACAATGCTGCTTTCTCCCAAACAAGACCAGACTGTTTCCTATCCCAAAGACAACACAGGGCCGGCTCTAGCCTATACACAGCCTCATTCTCACATAAGCAGTCTCTCTCTCACTCTCACTCCATGTCTGCATCTCTCTCTCTCTCTCTCTCTCTGTCTCTCTCTCTCTCTCTCTCTCTCTCGCTTTCCCCTCGCTGTCACACACACCAACAACGGGAGGGTAGCAACAAGGCCAGGGATTGTGGAGATAGGCTGGGGCTGCCGTGCTAGAAAACTAGGCCACTGTTTCTCTCCACCAGAGCTGCTGGTCGCCGAGATATTCTGGGCTGAAATGTTATTAGCGTAACCCAGTTTACCCAGTACCAGGTGACTGCTGGAAGAGGCGCTCCCCGCAGGGACACACGCACAGTCTCAAGGACAATGAGGCAGGAAGGAGGGGGAAGTACGGTGGTGCTAAAAAAGGAGAGAGGTGATGAAAGAGTGCATTCTGCTGTCAGGGGAGTCACTGCTGGACAGATTTGGATAAAGCGGAGTGTGTGTTTCAGTGTGTGTGTGTGTGTGTGTGTGTGTGTGTGTGTGTGTGTGTGTGTGTGTGTGTGTGTGTGTGTTTGTGTGTGTGTGTCCACGCTGTGCTCTGTTGTGACCCAGACTCAAACCTGTACCCAACCTTTTCTTTTGTGTCTGCGCCCTCCGGTTGCTGCGGCAACGGAGCCTGAGAACCACGAGGGAGGGCGGGACTGAGAGCGAGAGGAGCAGCTTTGACACAAACATAAAACACACACACACACACACACACACACACACACACACACACACACACACACACACACACACACACACACAGATTATCCTGTCATTTCAATACAGTCATCTGTCGTCTCTGAGATCTTACTGCTTGTCATATAAACCTTTAACTACTTCCTGTTTAATATTATTCTTTTTACTGCAACTGCATTAGCAATAAAAGACACAGTCATGAATGAGCCATTAGGTATTTTTACGACAAGCTTTCAGTGTTACAGCATATACTCACTCATGGCTGAGCTCCATTCATTTTTAGTTTGCTTTAATTAGCCCATAGCCATGTCACCATATTACAGTATCTGAACAAAACACTGTTACAATACAACATTTTATCTACATCTAATCATCAAACATCTAAATAGTATGTTTAATGAATCACAGAGCAATCACATTTATCCTCCAGAGTGGCCCTTCTTTTGAAGTTGCCACAATTTCCAGTTTATGGAGCTAATTTGGCCTACATCCTCTCTTAAATAGTTTGAACATCTGTCCCTGTGTTTCACCTTACCTGCCTGATTCCATTCATAAAAGTGCAATGTTTGAGTTCAGTTACTTATTTCCTCACTCCCTCGCCTTTTGCTGTGGTGACAATTCAGTCTAAAGTTCAAATTATTTTCTCTTTTTCTTACTTTCTCTTTTTACCAGGATTTCACTGTGCTAACTTCCATGCTGATTTTACACTAATATGTACCAATGATGTTGTTCAAATGGATTCATTCATGTATAGGTTTACACATCTCATTCTCTCACTCAAACTTAATAAAACAAGCTTGTTATCATCGATGCAAGAAGCAGAACCTCATCTGTTGTTGTCAGGGTGTTAAAGTGGAGCCTTTACCATGACCAAGAGATATAAGATAGGAGGACAGTGCAGCTGTCATACATACACTGATGTGAGTTGTTTTATATCGACCCTCTCTCATTCTCTTGTGTGTGTCCTTTGAATGTCTTCGGTGCATGTATACGGGCCCTTGTGAAGTGTCCAGCTGCTGGAGCCCTGCAGGGTCCTCCAGGCCCCTCAGACAGATGCAGATGTGGATTGGACACGTTCACCACGGACTCCTCTGCTGTCCCAGTATATGTGAGGTGGACTTTAGTGCTGGGAACAGACCTTCAGCTCTTAGTGGCAGAGGAAACGTCGGATTATAATTCCTCCTTCGTGTTCATACTCTGATCTAGTTTGCTAATGCCGCTAAACCTGCGCAGTAGCATTTAGCTCCTTTATACAAAGTCCACATTGAGAAATACGAGTTAGACGACAAGCTAGCTCGTATCCGGATTGATTTGTGTGGACAGAAGTTGTTTTATTCTGCTTTACCCGAGCATTATGGCTGCCATGTCAAGGACTCCCTGTCTGCGCCTTTCCTCGTGTTAACACTCTTCCTACCTGCATGGAGTCGGCGCTGATTATTTCTCCCTGAAGCCGTTTTCCGATCTCGATCGCCAGTTTGGACTTTCCGGTGCCGGTAGCTCCCAAAATCACCACAAGCGACGGGACCATCGCTCTCCGTAAGGCACACCGCACGCTGCGAGCGGACGCCGCCATGATGCTGCTTCCTCGGTGCCCAGCTGACAGCCGCGCGCATGCGCAGCGGACGCAGCGATGAGAGGTGGGCTCTGTTACCAGGCAACGGGCAGCCGTTACTGTGGTAACATTGATTGATGAGGGATCATGTGGAGAGTCTTTTCGTCTTCGGATGCTAAATGAATGTAGTTATTTTATCATTTTAGTCTTACTGGTGTAAATGAAGCGTTCTGATTGGTTCCTGCAGCTGTGATTAAACTGGTTTAAAACCAGTTCAGTTTAAAAATAATCTCCACTCAATAAGGTGTCTGAACGGACTTATCTCTCCTTGTTGGTGCATTTGTGAATAGATCACAGTGCTGATGACATTTACAATGTTTATGATATGCATTTACGGGAAGGGTAGCAGAATAGTTATTGTTTCTATGGAAACTGTCAGAGCTCTGCAGCCATGAGCAAAGATGCTTGTTGCCATGGCAAAGATGCCAGGATGGGTTACCCTGGAGACTGCTCAGAATAAATGGTGGATGGGGAGAGGGAGTTGTGTGTTCACTCATACAGGTGGTTTTAATGGAAAACAAATGTGTGCAATACTCTAGTCCAGAATAAGGTGCTGGCTTTAAATTGAGCTATATCCAGCTAAGAATTAGAACAAACGTATGCACCTAAATTATCATTACTATCGTTTGTGTGTGTGTGTGTGTGTGAAAGAGACAAACCGATAAGACAAACAGGTCATTTATGATGTCAAACCATGAGTTTATTATTTTTCTGACTTACTCTTCATACACAGAGGCTTATGAGGTACAGAAAAAAACAAAGTGCTGAGACAAGGCTCCAAAATCACCATAGTTGAACTCCCAAAGTAAGTAAGCAACATCCACTGCTACCATGACTGTGCCAACAGCAGAGACCAGTGACCAATACAAGTCAAATTAATTTTTTATTATTTTTTTTGTTAATGGGGCAAACCACTGCTGTGGGTGCACCCTATTGAAAAAAAATTAAATAAACAGGGGCTAAATGGTGGTTTGTGCTGAATTAATTAGCAGATAAACATATCCCGGCTAATTCAGAAGACATAATGGACAAAAAAAGGGGGGGAAACATTAATGATATCCTGAAGTACTTGTTCTACCAAGTACATCATGATTCCTCTGATCTACTGCTCCCTTTCTGTCTTGTGTGGGTCTGGTGTTATATAGCATATTACAGCAGGGGGTGTTTTCCTGAGTGCTGGTGAGAGCAGGGCTTGCTACTCGTCATGATCGAGTCATTTACAGTACTAGTGGACAGGGCTACAGTGTTCTCTGTTCCATGGCTATGGGACAATAGGGAGCACCAGGCTTGGGGGGGAAGCAGAGAGAAAGCAGTAACATTAAGGTCACTAAAGGCTACACACAGCCAGAAGTTTAATCGGTAGATCCTCTTAAGTCCCCCCCCCACCACCCACACCAGATTTAACAGAGTGCTACAGCTAGAGTGATTGGATTGAATACAGGAGGGAGCGTTCAGGTGCTTTTCACTCCCAGAGAGAAAGCAGAGCATACATGCCAATTTTCAGCACATAGCCACCAATAAAGCCCTGCCAGCTACAATAACAAAAACAGTCATTAGCTCACACTGAAACACAACTCGGTAGGAAAATATAGTATAAAACTTTTGTCAACTCTGACTTGTACAAATAAAAGAAACCCCAGAGACAGAAAAAGTAATGAACATTAAAGAAAACAAGTAGGCATTGCAAAAAAAATGTGGTGACAAAGTGGCTAGTGTGATCAATGTTCAGTAAGTGTTTTATTTAGACTCTTTTTCATAATCATTTTATTAACAAAAATAGAAGCTTTGAGTTATCTTTGAAAAGCCAGCAAGCTTGGCCCCAGTTTAGGACGCAGGGCCGAACAAAAACTAGGATGAGTATAGTAGACAGCTCTGGTTTTGGTTTGGAAGGGACTGTACAATATGGGTACTATATACATAACATCCAACAGGATAGTCTACATACATCGAAAGGCTTCTATAGGCATTACATCAAATGCAAAAAAAAAAAAAAAAAACAAACCCAAAAAACATACAAATATATCAGACAGCAAGATGAAAGAAATGTACAGTTGGAACTCAGTGGGCTTCATCTCCGAGCAAGACTTGGCATTGTTGATGTTGCTTAAACATACAGATTCAATTTAAGCCATTCTCTAAGAGTTTCTTTTGGTTGATCATTTGAAGCCACCCATTCACCTCTTGGCTGGTCTCCATGGCACAACAATAATAGAGATAGAGTGAAATCTTGATAATGATCTTCATAGTGTTTTTTGTTTTGCAGATGTTGACTGAAAAATCTGATCAATCTTACACACTGCCTGCGTGGCAACATATTTTCTCATTTTCTCCAAATAATGCTACAGAAACAGGCTGTTATTGTGGGCTTGGTTCTGTGGTGTGATGTAAGAAGAAAACACTGAATGGAAACCTGCAGGCACAGAAGTTAGGACTTAACCTGAGCTATTCCAGAGGTGCAGAACATATTGTATCCGTCCAGTTGTAGCGTTATTGTTGCATGGCTCAGTTCAGTCCCACTACAGCCCCCCCTAACCCCCACCTGCATTCCCATTATCAGCAAGCATAAAGCTAGAAACTTTAACTGCTGACAAGGAAAAAGAGTGAATAAACGCAGAGGAAAGAGAGAACGAGAGAAAAGTAAGGGAAATGGAAAAGACCACGGAGCGAAAAAAGGGCACAACTTGGTATGAAAATGTTCAAGTTGTATGCCAAGCGCTAAGGAGCAGGGGACTGTAGAGGAGTTGAAATTTGAAGGAGACTGCAGAGAAACTTCAGTGGGCCCTTCCGTGATAGAAAGGGGAGACATCACTGCTGTGCAAGCACACTGAGCCCTATCACAATCAAGGAGGCGTCTGACCAGACCATGCAGCAGTTTAACAACACAGCTGTAGCACTTTTTTTCAACTAGGAGCTGCTGCATTCACAACAAGCCTTCCTGTAGCAAGCAACAGTTTTTAGCAAGGGGAAATATAATAGTTTGACAAACTTATACTGAGTAACCATGGACATATTAATCTGCCCGTAAGATGCCCCATAAGATCAGTCCCTAGCTTGCTGTCCTGACCGGCTTACGGCCTCGTCAATCACTCAGAAGCTAATGTGCAAACCACAAAAAAAAAAAAAAAGAAAATCCACCCGCACTATTCCAACGTGACCAATTCAAAGTGAACATTAGTGTCTTTACTCCTTCATGTAGTCCCGTTCAGTTCTGTGAGTGTGCGTGTGTGTGGTGACAGCCGACCCCGTCGCTCAGGATCGTTTGAGGTGCGCCAGCTTCTGCAGCAGCTGCAGCTGCCTGGCTTTCAGCTGCTTCCTCTCCTGAGCCTTCTGCCTCTCGCTGACGTGCAGCTGCTGCAGGTACTCCGTGGCTCGCGTTAGGATCGCCACCTTCGGCGTCTTGGGGCAGTCCGCTAAGCCCGGGATCTCGTCCCGCAGCGACAGGAAGCGCGAGCGCAGGTCGTTCCTCCGCTTGCGTTCCAGGAAGTTGTGCGCCTTGCGTTTGTCTGTGTCCTCGCAGTCTGAGGACTGGGGGCTGGAGAGGTGGGAGAAGAAGTGGGACTTTGAGGGGAAGCTGTGGGGGTGGGAGTTTGAGCTGGAGGAAGAGGAAGAGGAGGGAGGCGATGAAGGTGACGTGGAGGAGGTAGGAGAAGAGGCGCTGAGGTTAGGTGACTCTGACCTGACCCCAGCCACGGTCACGTGAGACTTCCTGCTGTCTAAGTTCAGAGGGGCGTGGCCGGGCCGGGGTTGGTGGTAGTGAGAGTTCTGGTGCGGCTGGGTGGCCTGGGTGGAGGCCTCTTGCCGGACCCTCTTCCGAGGCGGCTCAACTGGAGGAGGGAGCGTGTCCGGGGAGGGCGCAGCATAATTGTGCTGCTGTTGGTGGATGGAGATGTGGAAACGCTTCATGCCGGGGTCGAGGGGGTCCGCTCGCACCGTTATTGTCACCGGTTTACGAGCGTTGACCAGTCGACGAGGTTTGCGTTGCTGCTTGTGCTCCACCGTCACCACGTCAATCTCCTCTTCATCCTCGTCTTTGTCATCTTCATCATCTGAAAGAGGGAAGAGGGAAGGTATTGATTATACAGAGTGCCTGGTGCTGACTGCAAGGGGACAGCTGAAGTTGGAAAGATGAGTCACCTCACTGGACATACAAATAAACAAAAATAGACATAAAAATCTACTTCACACAACCCTTACAAAATCTACATAATCTCGCACGCACATGCACACACACAAACTACAGAACACATGATGATTCACATTGGAAACTGGCTCTCTTCACTCATGTGGACTGAGTGAGGATGAGAGGCAGAGAGAGGTTAGGCGAAGAAGCAGATTAGAAACTCTTCAACTTGCTAAAATAAGCCGGCTGATATTCAACGCCGCTCACGTTTAAAATCATTTGCTGCTCTATTTACTGGAGTGGAAGCGGGGTATTAAACATGAGGAAAGGTCTTATCGACTTGATTCCCACCAACTGACTATACTCTTGGGAGATTTTCAATGCTCTTGTAAATTGAACCACACTTTTAAAGTAATTGCACCTCCGTGTATTTGACTGCTCAGAAAGTAGTAATCTCTATATGAATAACACATAAAGAGAACCTGGACAAAGAGCTTTGGAGGGGAGGGGTGCATGCCTATTATTCCCAACAACATTTATATGACAAAAGATGACATCTCATATTACAAGGTACATGGAATGAAGTAGCCCTATAATGGCTCTTTATTCTAGCTTAAGCATATATTTATTCCCTCTGATTGCTCATTCTCCCCTTCTTTGAGCGCATATTATCTCCTAAAATGGTGTGAAAGACTGCCTCAAACTCTGAATTCTGCAGCCATGGCCGACCTCCTAAATGGCTAATCCTGCTCTATTCACAGCCAAAGCTGGCTCCAACCAAATCCACCCACTGACACAATTGGCGCTGCAGCCTGTTGAGTGGAGGAATGCAGCAACAAGTTCCCTTTGTGACATTCCACACACCATTATGCATGGTCCAAGCTCAACATCACATGCCAGCCTACATACCAGTCCCAATCATATGGGTTGAAAATGGTTAAAAAGTAGGTCTCCAGTCAGGGAAAATTATGGTTAGACGTAACTTTAAAAAAAAGAAAAGATTTTCCTTCTCCCTTCCTGTTAGATAAAGTTCTAATAATAATGGACACTCCAATTGAATTCTTGTCAAATCCGAGCCCTGGAGTGTGGAGAGGATATTGTTATCATAAGTCAGACTGGAGGAGCAGGGAGAGGTAGCAGCTGGTCTGCTGGAGCATGGCCAAGCAGCAGATGTTTCAATGGGCGTGTCACTCTCTGGGCTCCAAGCATGTGTTGCATGCACCAAGGTAACGCAATGCAGTCATCATGTGCCATGCCAACCCTTATGACCCGATAATGGCTAGTCAAAGCTAAATATTAATTGAATGAGAGATGGAAGAGTGACATTAAGAGGACAAATTAACATCAAATCAACCCCCTTATAAAGAAATGACTTGAGTGAAATATATGTGGGCAGGTAAATAGAGAATTTTGGGGAAATTAAGAAATATTATTTAAATACTACAAGAAACCTACCATACAGTGTGATTATAGTCACTGAACTACCTACAGAGCAGTATATGTTTAATAAAGTATGAGCTATACCCATAAAGCTATTTTCACCATGAACTATAAGTCAAAGAAAAGCAAGATTTCTGTCAATAAAGAGAGAGTCCACCACGTTGCATATTCCATCCGTTACTGACCTGATGAGTCGGTGTGAGACTCTGAACCAGAGGACACTTGTTTCTTGCATCCACCGGTTAACGGGAAAGTGAGCACCGCAGCCGGGTCCACGCAATCCGCCGCCAGTCCGCTGAGAGCCGACACGTCGGCGGGGGCACTCTGCGCTCTCCCCGGGGATGTAACCGCGGACCCGGCTGCGACTTTGGCAGCGACCCCCGTCCCGGGACAGGAGGCGCAGCGCTCCCCTACAACTCTCTCCAGCTGCTGTCCGGCCGAGAAGCCGCTCCACATACAGTCCTGGATGATGATGGAGCTCAGGTTCCCGAAGGAGTCACTGGCCGTGGTCAGCTTGCAGGGCAGGTCCTGCTGCTGCTGCTGCTGCTGCTGCTGCTCGTCCTCCTGCCCTAAGAACTGAGAGACCCACTCCAACTTGTCCCCCAGGGACGGGTGCAGCAGCCCGACCCTGCCCGACTCTTCCACCGCCCGGATAGGGGACATGGGCGGGGTCGGTACCAGCTCGAATTTCTTCCATATGTCCTCGCTGGGCGCCGTGGACTTGAAGAAATCCTCGTCCGGGTCGTGGTGGTCGTCGTAGAAATAATGTTGGTAGTGGTCGAGTTGGTCCATGTCCCAGTTTTCATAACGAGGCGCGGTTGAGCTAATGCCCGGCATGGGGGCTGCCGGCAGGGGGGGGTGAATCACTCCCTGTTCCCTGTGTCTGCAGAGAGATAGAGCCAACAGTTGTGTGAGGACTGAGCCTTATTCTCATCAAAATAATCACAGCCCTGTCCGTAGACATGTTGCCCTCTGGGGGGGGGCTATTTTGGATGTATCATACTGTTCTGATTATGTTGTTTGTTACAGCCAAATAGGCTACTGTCCTACCTTTAATGGATGTGATAATTAAGAGTCCTTATGTCAGAGAGAACCATAGACTGAAATACAACTATTGGGATTTTCTTTTTATTTATTTTTTTTAGGCATAAATACAAAAAGTATCCTGCGCTTAAATGCCGCAAAGTTAAAAGTTAAACTACTCCGCACTGCCGCTGAGAAGTTCAAGTTTCGCAACAGTGTTTCATTACATAACACTGTTTTAGTAGTATACTGTGACAGAGCGAGGGAGAGGAGGGCAGGGGGTTCTATCAACTGCTGACTGCTCGGCAAAACAGAGATTAAATTAGATTAATTGGATAGACAGGTACCCGTCCTGCCTGCCAATGAACCTGGCCAGTCGTATGTAAAGTAGTTTACCGACTCCTCCTCGGTTCAGCTCCTTATCAAGCTCAAAGAATTCAGCTGCGACTTAAAAAAACAAAACAAGAAACGCCGATCAGTTAATTAAGCAGCAGGCGCGCTGGAAAGCTGCAAACCCCACAACTTCAAGCCTGAAACCTCTGTCCCTGCGCATGTGTGTGTGTGTGTGTTAACATCCTCACAATAGGAGTTGCTGTAAAGCCAGAAAGAGTTTTACCTGGTGTTGTGAGTGAAAAACCTGCCTGCGTCTTCATAGATCCGCCGTGCGCAATTTTAAGTGTCAAAAAAAAAAAAAAAAAACCAAGAAGCAGCAGCCACAGTGATTCCTTATGCGCACAATCTGGCTCAAATGTGAGCTTCCCCACGGATCCGCTCGGTGTCTGTGTTTTTTTTTTTTTTCAGGTTGTAAACAGTCGTTGAGGCAAATGAGTCCGTTTGGTCGCAGTCCCGCCGCTCAGAGGGCTGGAAAAGCGTTTGGCTGTGGTCACTTTTTCTTTGCCGACTACTGCACTATGATCCGGGGGAAGGAGAGTTGGCTATTATGCATAAAAGGCGGGTCGTAGTAGGAGAGCCACGCCCACCGTTTAAAGGCGCAGCACGCTCAAAACACCCTCAGGATGCGCTGCAGAGGGAATGTTATGAGAGCAGAGAGGTTATATGACACTGATTTCATAAGATGACACTTGAAATTATTATGCTAACATAATAACAACGTGTGTGTGTGTGTGTGTGTGTGTGTGTGTGTGTGAATAGCTACTTGCCAACAAATGCATGAGCACCTGTGTGTAATCATCACACTGCATCAAACGGGTTTAATAAGGAGGGCATCTTCTACAACAAGCAGTCATTCGTATTGTGTGTGTGTGTGTGTGTGTGTGTGTGTGTGACGGTCACACTGATTTCATGTGGACATATGGCTGCAGTATCCGATGTCATCCACGCATCTGATAGTCTCTGTAATCAATATCGAGCTTATGATGTAGAGCCCTCCCTCTGAGAGAGTCAATATGGAAGCAACGCCCTGTGTCTGCCATGTCGTGTGTGTGACAGCTGCACAGCTACACACACACACACACACACACACACACACACACACACACACACACACACAAACACACAGACCAACAACTGCTGACACTTGTGTTTCTTGCCATATGAAACCTTCTCAGTCTTGCCTTTTTTTTTATAACTATGCCGCAATAAACTTTGGCACACTGGCTCTTGAGGATGACGATTGAGAAACATCCTTCCTATAACTGCTCCTCTGAAGTTCCCCCTCCAGCACAGCGGGCGAAGCAGACAGCGTGAAATCCTTGTCTGTCCACCTCATCTTCCCATCAAACCATCAGACACCACCCCCCCTCCCCTCCCCGCTCTTTCCCTCAAACCCCATCTTCTGTCACTCATCCTCTATTCTTCTCTCCTCAGTTGTACTCTTGCCTACTTGTCTCCCACCCATCCCCTGCCCCCCTCTTGCGCTTTTATCCCCAGTCACCCCTGATCAAAAAGATCTTGACCCTACATGAAACGGGGAGACTTTGGAGGGTTATATCCTCCGTTTCCCAGGAGAGAGCCTACAAAGACACAGAACTAACAGACTGAAGAAACAGAAGCAGCAATCTTTCAATTTCCCCCGTCTGTATCACTTTCTGTCTCTCAGCTCATCCTACTCCTGATCCCTCTTCCTCTTGGCGCTTTTATCTCGTTCCTCTCTGTCTTCTGCCTTGTTACATACTTTGAAATTCTTAATCTGCCTCCCCGCTTTGAATTAATCATCAAAAGTGAACGGGTGCAAGGACTTGCTCCTTAAAATGAATAGGAAAGAAATTATCTTTTTGGATAAAATAAGTAGATTAAGTGAGTTTAGCCACCCTCCCCCCGCTCTTTAAATCATTTATATGTACAAAGATATGCACTTTCCTGTTTAAAGGCAACATTTCATTGATATGTAAATGTAAATATGATTATGGAAAATCTTTCCATGCAGATTTGTGCATGGATGTGTTGTGGTGGGGCTCAGAGGGAAATAGCTAATTTACAGTAATTCCCCAATGGATTAGGGAGCCTTGTTTGTATGAAAGTAGGAGGGGTACTTTGTGATGTGCGCTGAACCTCTGATCTGTCTCCCTCTTCTATACAGTACAGACATGCAAGAGACAAGATTAGTGAAACATCACTCATGAGGTACCATTTAAGTGGTATCTGCTTCCAAAATAGACAAGGTGATAGTGTTGATGTGAACTATGCATGTTAAATTATAACATTTTAGTGCTGGCTGTGCTGCACCTTAAATTAAAAACACACTGAGGCTGACACAAACCTCAAACACTGATATAGGTCAACATTTTTAGAAATATGCTAATGTGTTGTCTTGCTGAGAGTCAGATGAGAAGATTGATACCACTCTCATGTTTGTATGGTATATATGAATCTACACTACAGCCAGTGGATTATCTTAGCATAAAGGCTGTAAACAACCACCCTGGCACCATCTGATGGTAAGAAAATCTGGATACCAGCACTTTTAAAGCTCACTAATTAACAAGTTACATCTCCCCTGTTTGATTTAAATAATAACATAAGTGGCCTAATTTTCATTTTTCCTCATCCATCATCATTACTGTCACTGCTCTCAACTTTCTTTTTCACAAACTTACACACAATCTTAGAGCAATTAAAGATGTGGCAGCTCAGTCAGTCAGAAAAAAGTCTGAAGATTTTTCTCAAAATCCAAAATGATAACACTGACATACAACAGTTACTGTTTTCCTTCCACTCTTTCCCTGTAGCCTTTGGTATAACATACTGTCCATTAATGTGGTCGCTTAAATTAAAATAAATGAAGCTGTAATGATCCCCATGGGGCTGTTGCAGCAGCAGCAAAGTGCAGGATATGACTTTACCTTACAGAATACTAAATATAATAAAAATGATCACACTTATTATGCAAAGACAGAGAAAAGCAATGCAGAAGGAAATTAACAAAGAAATGCAGGTTTACTTCAATAAACCTGTGTGTGTGTGTGTGTGTGTGTGTGTGTGTGTGTGTGTGTGTGTGTGTGTGTGTATGCATGTACTGATCTGATTTACATATTGATTTACACCAGATGTTCAGAAATAGTTGAGCATGGAAACGTGTTAAAATGTTAGCTCTCACCATATCATTCAGATTATAAAAGAAAACTCTAATACACGTAGAAATGTAGATATGATTTGTTCACTTATTAAATAGAAATACGAAAACCTCCTTCTGACAGGAATATGAATATTTACATAACATCCTTTTTATAATGTGTGTAAAAGGATGATTTATTGCACTAAGGAAAGCAAGAGCCAAAGAAGGGATGAATCTGGAGTGAGGAGTGATGGGCGGAGACATAGGTGGAGAAAAGAGACGACAAGGGCCGACCCCTGCCTCTTGCTGGGTCACCCTTCACGTCATTCCTCCAACCGCCCCCGCTCCACCCGACTCTGACCTTCCAGACTGATCAATGAATACCTAGTCTGGGACCCACCCATCAGTGTGTCTGGGCCGCCACAGGTTCACTTCATGTAATCTGGGAGACTGGAGAGGAAAAGTGACAGCTGCTACCCACTGCATGGTGATGACCTCCTTCTGACACACTAACCACACACACGTTAAGGGAGAGGATTGCCTTTCAGTCCAGATGCTCATTACATCAAGCTATCACACACTGAGCTGCACACACACATACAGTTCTCTCTCTAACCCTCCACCTCAACCTATGCTTATTTTTTCACCCAAAATACAAAAAAAAAAAAAAAAATGCCCACTCCCCTCTTGTGATATTTGGCCATGAAGATGCAATTTGAGATACTGTCTCTCACCTTCCTGCCTACACTACATGGAGGTGAATGGGAATGTGTGTTCCTCTCAGAGTTAAAAAAAACTTTTGTTTGAAAAATACAAGAGTATTACATCATTTCTTTCCAAAAACAGCATCCTTGTTACTTTGGATGATGACAAAAGTCCCAGGGATAACTGTTCACAGGTGGATGTACATGGGGACTGTGACACTTATGTTGCTGGTGACACTTTTTAATGTATTGTTTACAGGGAACGCCACAAATGAAATTCCATGTCCTGTTTTAAATTAGTTAAATGCAGATATTGTAGGGCTTTCAGAATTTGGACAAATAAAACCAAAACTACATATAAGCATTTTTATTTTGTGATTTGGTTAAATTTAGTCTTTAAAGGCCTTGAAAACACAATATGCAGCTGATTGTAAGTGGCGGGGTCCGACATGCACACACAAATTTCTGCCAAAGTTAGAAAACGTTAAATTTCTTTATTTGTGTCTCTTCTCAAGTGTTGGGCAAGTTAATTTCTTCTAGATAGCTCCTAGGCAAAGAAATGTTTGGGTTACTTTTAAATGTCTGCTTCAGTTCTTTTATAAATGTACACAGCCCTCTGATGGTACTCGGGACCACAAGAGGGCAGGAAAGACCACACGGATGTAAACATTAACCAAGCTTTGCTAGAGTAGTTAGTTGATAAATAATTATTTGATGGCCAGACTGAACTGTCTTGAGCCACTGTAAGGTCGGGTGACGTTAGATCTTAAAACATAAAATCAAGGGGGATATGCTTGGATGCGCTACGCTTGTCTGCTGTTTTCCACCATTTCCTGGTAAGACAGAAGTAATGAGTAACGAACCTGTATACATTTCACTAACTGCAATTGCTTTATATAATTTGAAAATGTAATTTGTGACATTAGTAGCCACTAAAAGAAGTGGAATTACAGTAACATGTTTATATCACGCTACTCCCAACACTGCTCTTCTCACTCGTCTAAAGGAGGCGGGGCTCAGCTGGAAAAAGCTGATGTCACACAGTCCCATACACCAATCAGAGTTTAGAAAGACTACAATCACAATCTGAACACAGTTGTGGGGATGCCCGCTTGTCAATGAACTCAAACTACACCCCCACAGTCCTGATGTCAGATTAGCTGACATTTTTGCGTGTTAAACTCTGAATAAATAACACCTAAAGATGTTTTTTCCAACCTTTAATTGCTGCGTGTTTAATCATGAACATTTAATATTATGCAAAAACATTTAAAATCAAGCTATAAAAATGTGTGTTTCCAGTAATGTGTGGGAGAATATTTTCTATTTAACTAAAAAATCAAAGCAGGAAATACAACACCCCATCACTTTTGACTCCCTCTGACTCGGCTCTATAATCTGTGTATATCTTTCTGTGTCACCGAGTGTCATGTTTCCATAACTATCTGCATATAACCACATCTGTGCAAAAACAACAGCTGTGTAAAATCAAATGAGGAATTGATTTCAATCAAATGGCAGCCCAGCTAATGATTTGCAGTTATAGAAAAAGCATCAAGGTGGCAGGAAATCCATTTGGGCTGATGAGGATACGACTTGAACACTGAATACCATCAGTGAGCAAACCTCATCGCTTTCACATGTTACGCACACTTCAACTTTTTATCTTGCGTGTGTGTGTGTGTGTGTGTGTGTGTGTGTGTGT